CACCCTATGGGGCCCGCAGATCATGTTGGTAATCCGAGCAGGTCATCCAAAACCTGTAACTGTCGTCAATGTTGGGTTCTCGCGCTGCCAGAACGCAGTTCCCAGGCCACACTTTGGATGCAACAAGGAAGTTTTTGGCCTCCTCAGGTCGCCGAGGTGCTGCGACAGGGCGCCGAAGGCGCCGACGACGACGGCCAGGCCGAGGCGCGGGCGCGGAGCTTGCTGATGTTCAGGCCCAGCGAAAGGGAGTTCACATGGCAGAGCTCGGGGGCGCACAGCGTGCGCCGCTCGGGGTTCACCCTGACGCACGCGTCCTACCTGACCTCCACGCTGTCGCAGGGCCATACGCTGCGCAAGGGCGTCACCATCGACTGCGCGAGAGACGAGGACGCTGGCCGCACGGGCATGTCGGACGAGCAGTGGTGGCTGCACCTCTACGTCATGTTCTCCCGCGCCACGCGCGTGCGGAACATGCTGATCCTGCGGCCGCCGCCGCGAGAGTTCCTGGAGTGCGGGCCGCCGGCGTCCCTGCGGAAGGCGCTCCTGGAGTTCGACAAGAGAACGGTTTTGTCCATGGCGGAGGCGAAGCAGCTCGCGGCAGAGCTGGGCTTCGTGCTGCCTTCCGCCTGAGCGCGGCTGCGCCTCGCTCGAAGCCCGCGGGGTTGTCCCACCGGCTTGGTCTTGCGCGCCAACGGCTCGCGGGGTTGTCCCGACAGCCTGGCCCGCGGGGTTGTCCCAACGGCTGCGCGACGTGACCAGTAGAGAACGCGCCTGTGCTGGCCGTGGCGGCGACGGCGCCGAGGAACATCGACATGCGCGCTCATGCAACAGGAAGGGGAGGAGGTGGCGGGGCGCGGAACAAACAGGGGGGCGAGGATGGGGACAACGTAAGGAGTGGAAGGGGGCCCGCGCCAAGGCGAGAGGAAATATACGCAGAAGAGACAGCCAGGGCGCCTCACCAACCACGAGGACGACGGTGATGGCTTTTTCCAGATTCGCCCAGAGGATTCTTATGTGGGGTTCTTCCGTCGGAGTAATTTTCTCTGGACACCCCGCGCAGGAACAGGAACACACACACACCCACTCACACTCACTCACACTCTCTCATCATCAACCTCATCAGCATCATCGATGATGCTCTCTCACATGCTTAGTCACTCACATACTCATCATCATCATCATCACTCGCACTCTCTCACACGCTCACGAACATCATCATCATCATCATCATCATCATCATCATCGGCATCGGCATCATCCTCATTCTAACATCATCATCGCCACCACCACTCACAATCAATCATCATCCTCTTCACCACGCATCTTCACCACCACTCATCATCCTCATCCTCATCATCGTTGAGTAAATTGTGAGGAAGTCTCAGGCGGGAGCCCCCTCCCTATGGGGCCCGCAGATCACGTTGGTAATCCGAGCGGGCCATCGGAATCCTGTAATTGTCGTCACGTTTGAGTTCCCCAGGCCTGAAAATGGAGGAAGTCTCAGGCGGGAGCCTCGTCTGTGAGTGAATTGTGAGGAAGTCTCAGGCGGGAGCCCCCCCCAATGGGGCCCGCAGATCATGTTGGTAATCCGAGCGGGTCATCGGAAACCTGTAACCGTCGTCACTTTTGGGCTCGTCAAGCCTGAATTTGGAGGAAGTCTCAGGCGGGAGCCTCGTCTCTGAGTGAATTGTGAGGAAGTCTCAGGCGGGAGCCCCCTCCCTATGGGGCCCGCAGATCATGTTGGTAATCCGAGCGGGTCATCGGAACCCTGTAACTGTCGTCACTTTTGGGTTCCTCAAGCCTGAATATCGAGGAAGTCCCAGGCGGGAGCTTCGTTTGTGAGTGAACTGCGAGGAAGTCTCAGGCGGGACTCCCTCCCTATGGGGCCCGCAGATCATGTTGGTAATCCGAGCGGGTCATCCAAAACCTGTAACTGTCGTCAATTTTGGGTTCTCGCGCTGCCGCCAACGCAGCTCCCAGCCAGCCTGTTGGAACTCACAAAGAAGTTTTTTTGGGCTCCTCAGGGTCGCCGAGGTGCTGCGACTGGGCGCCGAAGGCGCCGACGACGACGGCCAGGCCGAGGCGCGGGCGCGGAGCTTGCTGATGTTCAGGCCCAGCGAAAGGGAGTTCACATGGCAGAGCTCGGGGGCGCACAGCGTGCGCCGCTCGGGGTTCACACTGACGCACGCGTCCTACCTGACCTCCACGCTGTCGCAGGGCCAGACGCTGCGCAAGGGCGTCACCATCGACTGCGCGAGAGACGAGGACGCTGGCCGCCCGGGCATGTCGGACGAGCAGTGGTGGCTGCACCTCTACGTCATGTTCTCCCGCGCCACGTGCATGCGGAACATGCTGATCCTGCGGCCGCCGCCGCGAGAGTTCCTGGAGCGCGGGCCGCCGGCGTCCCTGCGGAAGGCGCTCATGGAATTCGACAAGAGAGCGGTTTTGTCCAGGGCGGAGGCGAAGCAGCTCGCGGCAGAGCTGGGCTTCGTGCTGCCTTCCGCCTGAGCGCGGCTGCACCTCGCTCGAAGCCCGCGGGGTTGTCCCAACGGCTTGGTCTTGCGCGCCAACGGCTCGCGGGGTTGTCCCGACAGCCTGGCCCGCGGGGTTGTCCCAACGGCTGCGCGACGTGACCAGTAGAGAACGCGCCTGTGCTGGCCGTGGCGGCGACGGCGCCGAGGAACATCGACATTCGCGCTCATGCAACAGGAAGGGGAGGAGGTGGCGGGGCGCGGAACAAACAGGGGGGCGAGGATGGGGACAACGTAAGGAGTGGAAGGGGGGCCCGCGCCAAGGCGAGAGGAAATATACGCAGAAGAGACAGAGCCAGGACGCCTCACCAACCACGAGGACGACGGTGATGGTTTTTTGCAGATTCGCCCAGAGGATTCTTATGTGGGGTTCTTCCGTCGGAGTAATTGTGCCACTTTTTGTTCCCCTAAGGAGGGGCCTGGCCCAGGGCAGTGCTCGGTTCTTGTCTGCCCCAGAAGGGGAGGGGTCGCCGGGCCGTCCCGCAGATCTGTGGCTCGAGGAGCCTCCACGGGGGCCGGCTCTCACCCTGGAGCCGAGGAGGGCGCAGTCCATAGGAAGGGCTCGGCCTCTCGTCGGCTAGACGTAAGAGTGGCCTCTCGCCGGAGTGACCTGTGGTGCGGGCCAAATGGGGTCCCCCGATCGCCGAACGCGATGCGGTGGCAGCGTCTTGCGCGACTGTGTTTGGCCCCCCCGCGGCCCCCCAAAAACCACGCACTAGAGGTCACTCTTGCCCAGGGTCCCTCTTTGCGTGTAGCCGATTTCGGTCCAGGAGAAGGGGGTGGTGCGGGCAATACTTCTGTCCATGTCCACTGCGATATGGAGTTGTATATGCATCAACTGCCCCCTAGAGGCTCGATTTTTACCCAGAGGCGCGCTGGATATGCATCAACTTGCCCCCTAGAGGCTCTATTTTTACCCATATCCAGTGCGCCTCGGCCTTGTGGCGCTCCTTCCAACAAAATCCAAGACGCACTGGATGTGGACACGAACCTTGCCCGCAGGTGGCTGTCGGGCCGCCCCGCAGGTCTATAGCTCGAGGGGCCTCGTCGGGGCCGGGAGGCTCACAGTCGCCCGACAAAAAGTTTCCCGCTGTGCCTTGGGCGTTCCGCGTGGCACAGTCAAAACCCGCAAGGTAAGGATAGGCAGCCCTCCCAAGGGTACCCCAGATTTCGTAATAAAAGGGAGGGGGCCTCATTTCGGGGGGGGTCTCTTCCAGGCTATCTTGGAGGGCCTGGGGGGTCTGGGGACGATGTTTTGGAGGGTTCTCCCACGGGGGAGGTCTGAAATGGCTTGTCTTGGAGGGTCCAGACCCCCTCCCTTTTATTACGAAATCTGGGGGACCCGTGGCACCCTTGCCTCATCGGCCCATCCTTGACCGCTCTCGCTGGCCGCGCCCCGCTCGCAGAGCGTCGACGTGGGCTTCAAGGCCGTCACATCCTTACCGCGCATCCTTATCATACGGGTTGACTACAAGGGAGGAAAAACTAGCCGGACCCGATAATCGGCGTTTACAAAACGGCCCGGGGCGTTTACTAAACAGCCTTGCCCTGTTGGACTCCTTCTGTGGGTGCGTTTACTGAGCGGCTTCGCGTGTCGGCGTGGCTACTAGGGGGGTGGATGTTCTGCCCTCTACATGGCTGTGGCTCCGTGACTGGCGTGCTCCTCCGAAGCAGGTCGGGCGCGGAGTTCGGAACCGGAGATCGGATCCTACTCGCGGCCCAGGTGCATCCAGAGCTTCCCGCGTCGCCCTCTGCCGCCGGCCCCCCTGCGGATTGAGGCTGGCAGGCCGGCGGGTTGCGCTGGCGGTTTCGCTGGCTGGTGGGCTCGCACGCTGGCCAATGAAGTGGTTGGGTGGTGTCTCGTGCTACTGGGCAAGGGAGGAAAGGGTGCCCATACCTCGACCTTTCCTTCGTTGTTGTCCCCTTGTGGGCCTCCCGGGAGGCCCTCGTCGCCTCCGCTGGATTCGCCTCGACATCCTGGTCAGAACGCAGCCCGGGAGAGGTCCAGAGAGCAGCGGCATCGGTACCCTGCAGAGCCCTAGAGAGGCTTCTGCGAGGGCCCGAACACGGCCACAACCATCATGTTTCCCGAGAGTTTTCCGGGAACGTGATTGGCGCCGTAAGTTATCGGAGGAGGAGGAGGAGGAGGAGGAGGAGGAGGAGGAGGAGGAGGAGGAGGTGGTTCTCAAACATTTCCCCGTTGTTGCACGGACCCCGCCCCCCCTTACCCCCCTGCCTAAACTGGACCCCCAGATCCTGGGCCCCAAGGACGCCCTGGACGCCCTTTCGGACGGCCCCTGCCGAATTTAGCCACCGTTCCCGAAACGGCCCGGCAGGTGGCTAAATAGCCTCACACAGTCCCCATGCGGCCCCCGACACATCCCAAACACGCCCAACGACGACAACAGAAGGCCAACGCCCTCAGGGCCCTTCCAGACGCAAAGTGCAAAACCTGCCAGACCCTCACGAGGCAATACTCGCTTCTTTCCCTGAGGATGCGCGCGTTTTCATCACCTTCGCTTTTGCACACGGAACGCCGTCGTTGACCACCCAAGAGGCTTCCCAGACCGCTCCAAGCCGACGCATGAGGCTCCAAGACGGCCCCAAGACAGGCCACGAATGCCCCGGGCGGTCCGAAACGGCGCAACAAAACGCCCCGAGAGGGTCCCAATAGGCTGCAAGAGCGAGAGAGAGAGAGAGAGAGAAGACTCGATCTCACATCTCGAGGCCCGAGGCCTCCTCATCCAGAAGGCGGACTCCTTGGCGGGCGAGGCGGCGGCATCCTACGAGATCTCAGAGGCGCAGATGGGCTGCTACAACTGGGCGAGGGCCACGGCACACTTGGTGAGGACACGCATCGGCCAGGCGTACATGGAGCAGTTCGAGAAGACCAAGCCCATGACGTGGGAGGAAAAGGCCGAGGCGAAAAGCAAGAGGAAGAAGACACTGGACGAGAAGAACAACTACGTGTACCTGAGGCAGCACACCCCACACCTACTGCAACCAGAAGGGCGAACATGGAGATGTGCGAGATGCAAGGAATCGATCGGGAAGCACCAGAGGTCACGGCAGGTGAAGTGGTGGCTGCAACAATGCAAAGGCGAAGGTCAGACTCAAGACGAGCGTCAAGAAGGAGCTCAGCGCAACCTGGTCCTCAAGGGAAAGATCTCCCACCACACGCACGTCATCTGCTGGTCCAGGCACAAGGAGCGGCACTTCTGCTGGAGCTGTGGTGCTACGGCGGAGAAGCACCTGAGCAACAAGATGGTGAACAGCTGCGAAGGGTGGCCAGCGGGCCAGGCATCAAGGTACGCACTGAAGTCACTCAGACGAAAGATGGACTGGGCACCAGGAGCAGGAGATAGATGGAGCAAAAACACCATGGTAAAGTTCACGAAGTCCGAGCAGCATAAGAGCAACGCGAGGGACCACGCGAGGGACCACGCCTCGAGTCAGAACGACGAGAGGTCGGTCGCCAGTGGGCCGTCAGCCCGCAGGGGCACCGTGAGATTTCACTATTGCAAGAGAGTTGTGCCATGAATGCAGTTGTCGAACGGATCTTGATCGACTGCTGCAAGGAGGCACCTGACCGACGGCCACGGAGGCCCCGTGGACTGCGAGAAGGACGGCGGCGACATCCGCGTGCCGTCCATCTGAGCGGGAGGCTGACGCCTGCCGCTCCCTGATAATAAATTCGGGAAAAATAGCGCTCCCTGGATGCCCACAGCGGGCCCTCAAAGTATCCCCAGGAGGCCCCTGGAGCCTTCTGGACGCCTCCTCGATGGCCCTGGACCGGCCTCCGAGAGACCTCCCAGGCGGCCCCATAGATCCAAGTTGGAGACTCGCCTCTGGTCCGCAATTTTCAGGGCCCTTGATCGATTGATCGACCCCAAGGGGGCCCAGGGGCTCCAAAATTAGGCGAACAGCTGGAGGCACCTTGGGCGAGGGGCACCTTTAGCGACCCCGACCCTCCTGGGGTCGGAGGATGGCGCCGCACCGCCGGAGAAGGCCTCGGCGAGGTGGCCCGGCGTGGAGCCCAGCCTCTTCCCCTCGCCGAGGTCGGCGGAGGGCCGCGGCCTTCCGACCCCAGCGGCGACGAGCGTGCCCAGACATGATCGCGTCGCGAAAAGAAACAGGACGGGAGGTTTGTGGCCATTTTCGGCCTCGGGGGGCCCTCGCCAGGCCTCGGGACCGTCAGAAAACGACCCGGGACGAACAACCGGTCTCGGGGAAGGGGTCGGGACTTCCAGGGACGCCGTCTTGAAAAAAACAGGACGTGGCATGTTTGGGTCGGCAAGTGGATGGGATATCAGGACCCAGATCTCAGAGGAGGAGAGGATACCGATACCGTTGCCCCTCCCTCGCCGTTCTCGAAACGGAGCCCTCGAGCCTCCGCAATCGTTCTGCTTCCATCCTCCACCCTCCATCCTCCATCCTACATCGTCTCTGAGAGCTCGGAGGCGCTTCCTCGCCAGTGCATGGTGCGATATAGAGCAGCGCGTCGCCAAGCTGCGGCCCTTCCTGCGCCCTCGGCGTGAGGCATTGTTAGATGTCCGGTGCCCTGCATCTGTTGGTGTTTTCTGGTTCGCCTGTCTGGCGGCGGTGCTGTTCTGTCGCCCGTGGCGGCGCTGCTCTTTCGGCAAGCGCCTGGGAATGTTGATGCGTTGCGCATCTGGTTTCGAAGAAGAAAAAACGCTATACACATAAACTTGTTGGCGCTCCGCGCCGACAGTTTATGTGTATGGCGTGTTTTCTTCTTCCATAGTTGTTCATTTGCTTGTTTCCATGCGCATGGCTTGCAGGTTTTGCGTCCGCCTGCAAGGTTGAGGTGCACAGTGCAAGGCGCGGCGCGGCAGCACGCAGAGCTGCAACCATCCCCTGCGCCTTCTGCTTGATGCTACGTCTGGTGCTTGGTGCCCCGCGTCGGCTGATGCACTCAATTTCTCCGCCTTGCTACGCTTTTGTTGTGTGTTGGTTCGTTTTCCTCGGCGCCCGTCGTGCGCCATTGTGTTTTTGTGCATATGACCCCGGTCGTGTTCCTTGGGTGCCTCGGTTCTTCTGATGCCAGAAGCAACGCAAAGGCAAAGCAATGCCAGTCAATGCCGAGCAATGCCAAGCTACAGGTAAGCCTTCTGTTTGCAACTGCACTGGTGTGGCATAAGATAAAGTGGAAAACGCGTCGCAGAGCTGCAACCATTCCCGTGTCCTCCGCTTAGATGGATTGTTTGGTGATGGGTGCTTCAATCCGGTTGCAGTATGTCAGTTTCTGTTTACCGCTGCAGATGTTGTGTTTGGTGTCCCCTGGCGCGCGCGTCCGTGCTGTTTGCGTCACACGGGTGCTAATCATGTCTCCGTTCGCGCCGTCGGCGTGCCGATGTACGGTTTGGTCCTCTTCGCGTGGGGCGTGTGTTGTGCTCAACACTGGGTGAAAGCTCGCGCGTTCAGTTTAGTATTATCTCGCGCCGCAACTGCCTGGCTCGTGCCCGTCACGGCGAAGGCTAACACCACGACGACGATGGCGGCGGCTGCGGCGACGACGACGACGACGAGGACGACGACGACGACGACGATGACGGCGGCGACGGCGACGGCGACGGTGGCGGCGGCGGCGACGACGATGACGACGACGACAACAACGACGACGATGACGGCGGCGACGGCGACGGCGACGGCGGCGGCGGCGGCGACGGCGGCGGCGGCGACGGCGACGGCGACGGCGTCGTTTACGGCAACGACGACGACGAGGACGAGACCAACGACGACGACGACGACGACGACGACGACGACGACGAACACCACGACTACCACGACGCCGACGAACACGACGACGAACACGACGACGACGCCGACGAACACGACGACGACGACGACGACGACGACGGCGACAACGTCGTCGGCGCCCCCACCTCGGGGCGCCGCCGCCGCCGCACCCGGCAGTCGATTCAGTGTTGTGCTGCCGCGGTCTTGGTGGTGAGGCAAGGCAATGCTGGCAGCATCCTTTTCTACGGCGTTGCTGCGTTGCTGCTGGGGCGTCGGAAGGGCGCTGTGGTGTTTGATGCGGCTGGTGGAGTGAAGGGGGGAGTTGACGAGGCATCTCCACGGTGCTGCTTGGCTTGTTCTGGCGGCCTCCCTGCTTCCTCCCGCCTCCACCTGCCTCCACCTCTTTTTCCTCCTCCTCCTTTTCCTCCTCCTCCTCCTCCTCCTCCCCTCTCCTCCTCCTCTCCTCCTCCTCCTCCTCCTCCTCCTCCTCCTCCTCCTCCTCCTCCCTCCTCCTCCTCCTCCTCCTTCCCTCCTCCTCCTCCTCCTCCTCCTCCTCCTCCTCCTCCTCCTCCTCCTCCTCCTCCTCCTCCTCCTCCTCCTCCTCCTCCTCCTTTTCCTCCTACTCCTCCTGCCCTGCTCCTGCGCCTCGTCCTGGGCGCCCTCGCCAGCCGCTCGGGAGCTGCGTCGGCGGCAGCACTCCGCCTCTGGCTGCGCCTCCTTCTCGTCCTCCTCTGCCGATTTGTGCTGCTCGCAGTCTCGGTGACGTTGCTGCTGGTGCTGGTGATGGTGCTGGTGGTCGCCGTCGTCGTTTTGTCGGCGCTGGCACTCCTGGTCTTGGTCGTGATGCTGCTGGTCGCAGTCGTGGTAGTGTTGTAAGCAACGGTGCTTGAGGTTGCCATCGTTGTGATGCTGCTGCTGCCGCCGCAGCCGCTGCTGCTGCTGCTGCTGTTCGCGGTCATGCTGGTGCCATTCGTGGTGGTGTTGTTCGCAGTCGTGGTGGTGTTGTTTGTGGTGCTGCTGGTCGCCGTCGTGGTGTTGGCGCCGCTAGTCGTAGTCGTGGTGCTGTTGGTCGCAGCCGTGGTGGTGCTGCTTGTAGTCGCCGTTTTGGTGGTGGCGCTGCTGCTGTTGCTGCTGCTGCTGCTGTTGCTGCTGCTGCTGGTAGTCGTGGTGCTGCCGGTCGCCGTGGTAGTGGTGGTGGTGGTGGTGGTGGTGGTGGTGGTGCTGCTGCTGCTGCTGCTGCTGCTGCTGCTGCTGCTGCTGCTGCTGCTGCTGCTGCTGCTGCTGCTGCTGCTGCTGCTGCTGCTGGTTGCCGTCGTGGTGGTGCTGCAGGCAACTTGCTGGCCACTAGCGTCCGCGAGCGCCGGCTTCCGCCCTTCGCCGCCTTTGGCTACATTCTCTTCTGTGGCGCTGTTGCGTGGCGGCTGGGATGCAGGTGGGACGGTGGCCCAGAAATAGCATGCGATTGAGAAGCGCATGCGGTGCTGCTGGATGAGGGGGGCGCGAAGCGGGAACAGCGTGGCGCAGTGCTTTCGGGGCCCTGGTTGCCAGCAAATATAGTGCTTGTGCGACGTCGTCTACCATTCATTTAGTTTGGTGCGGCCACTGTGCGAGCGGGGTGACGGCAAGCACCGTTCTCTTTGCATGGCGCTGTTCGGTTGTGGGTGGGGCTTCCGCGGGGCGCTGGGGTGCAAGTTGCTTGCTCGCCGACAATATTTGGAAGTGCGCAGTGCGTTGCTCAGCGCCAGGTGCGGCGTTGGCGGGGTGCGGGCAAGACCTGGGCGCTGCACTGGTGCAGTGCTGCTGGGGTCCTGGTGGCAAGACAAGGCCTCCTCCTCCTCTTCCTCCTCGTCGGCGGCCGCCCTCCGCGTCTGGCGCGCCTCCTTCTCGTCCTCTTCTGCCGATTTGTCGTGCTCGCGGTCGCGGTGGTGCTGGTCGCAGTCGTGGTGGTGCCGCTGCTGATGCTGGTGGTGGTCGCCCTCGTCGTTGTGTCGGCGCTGGCGGTCTTGGTCGTAGTCGCGAGGCTGCTGGTAGCCGTGGTGGCGGTGTTGACAGCTATCGAGGCGCAGACGAGGGCGATGTGCAGACCTCCGCGCGTGTGCGACGACGCTTGTCCTAAAAGGATCCCGAGGTCACTGCGGAGGTCGGACTGCCCAAGGAGAAAGCAACGTGGCCACGGCGAGCCTGACGCTGTGGACAGCCAGCGTATCCAAGAAGGCCTGCCTGCGTCCAACGCTGAAGCGGCCCCAGGGCACACCCGCTCTGGTCTCCAGGAGTTCGGGACCTTCGGTGGAGCGCCCGCGCCCGCCTCGAGGGGATCTGCGGAGGCCACCCAGGGCCCCTCGCGACGGACGGCAGTGTCAGTCAGGTTTGCGGGCCTGACGCCCTCTTCGTATCGATGTTCCTGTCAGCGGGGGTACGTCTGGCAGGGCCGCGGAGCGAGTCTAACACCAGAGAGCCCTAGGCGACAGCAGGTCACGTCCTGCGCAGAAGCACGAGGGCAGGCAGGATTGTGAAGGCAGACAAGGTGGAGTCGTCGACTCTCCGAACAGCTTGTTTGCGAGATGTGTGGCCTTGGCCTGGAAGTGATCAGCCAGAGGGCCCTCGCATGATCGACTTCTGCCTGGTATTTCCGCCAAAGAAAATTGTGCTGCAACCGGCCTGGCCCGAGGACAGTCTCACACTACGGCGCAAGTGTCGAGCTCAACCGCACTCCAGGGCAAATCATGCTGCAGCCAGCGCCCACTGAGCGCGACCTGTCCGGGGAGTCCCACCGCGGACAAATTGAAGACAAAGTCAGGCCAGGCAGGGCTTACCACGCTCTCCAGGATCGGCGGCCCAGTTCTGCTGAACACGTCTGTCTGGAGTATGCGCTCCCCGATGAGACCTCCCGCCGACCAGGCAGGCTGACACTTCTGCTGGCGGCGGCGGCCCCTTGAACGGCCACCCTGCCTACAGGAGAGCTGGCCAGCACGAGCTCTCCGTCCCCATGGTCTGGCAGGCCGGTCCTTCAGAAGGGGCAGGGGGCCCAGTTGGTAGATCGTGCCCATAACCCAGGAGCGCGGTGGACGGCTTGCAGATATGGGAGGTGTTTTGGTGCAGAACAGCTTACCCTAGCAGGCAGAAGTGTTACTTTTTTTTTTTTTGGGGGGGGGCAGCTAGCAGCATTCACGTCGCCTTGTATCTGGAACGCCGAATCCTGCATGACAGCGCGCGTGCCTTTTTAGAACAGGTGGTGGCCAGCTTCGACAAGAGATCAAGGCCAGTACACCTGCAACCCGAGTTGCGGGAAACCCCAGGAGCAACCCTGGCGGTAGAATATCCAAAGAGGGCGGCCAGACAACACAGCCTAGAGCTAGATCCCACCG